TCTTAATGATTCGCTTTGTGATTTTCTTTTGTTTCGGCTTACCTTCTTTCGTCTCAGTTTCCTCTACAGTCACCTCTTCAGGCAACTCAACAACTTCTTCTGGCTTGCTCTCTTCGGGGGTAGTTTCTTCTACTACAGTAACACTTGTCACAGGGGCCTCGTCGTCTTTTTGGACTGTGGTGATTTCGGTGACTTCTTCTTTAGGTCCTTTTCTCTTTTTGATTATGCGCTTAGTGGTTTTAATGGTTTGAAAATCGCCGGTTTCGGTTTTGACTTGTGTAATGTGTACTTTCTCAGGGGTTTCTTCAACGACCTGAGCAGTATCTGGTGTGATATCTGAGAGTTGTGTAGTTGTGTCATCTATGAGTTCCTCTGTGGTTTGAACAGAAACGACTGGTTGTTTGTTGTCTTCTTGCTCAGTAGTGATTTGTGTAGTTTCGACTTTAGGTCCTACCCGTTTCTTAATAATACGCTTTACGATTTTCTTTTGTTTCGGCTTACCTTCTTTCGTCTCAGTTTCCTCAACTGTTACCTCTTCAGGCAACTCAATAACTTCTTCCGGCTTGCTCTCTTCGGGGGTAGTTTCTTCTACTACAGTAACACTTGTAACAGGGGCCTCGTCGTCTTTTTGGACTGTGGTGATTTCGGTGACTTCTTGCTTAGGTCCTTTTCTCTTTTTGATTATTCGCTTAGTGGTTTTCACGGTTTGGACATCGCCGGTTTCGGTTTTGACTTGTGTAATGTGTACTTTCTCAGGAGTTTCTTCAACGACCTGAGCAGTGTCTGGAGTGATTTCTGAGAGCGGTGTAGTCGTGTCATCTATGAGTTCCTCTGTGGTTTGAATTGAAACGACTGGTTGTTTGTCGTCTTCTTGCTCAGTAGTGATTTGTGTAGTTTCGACTTTAGGTCCTACCCTTTTCTTAATAATACGCTTTGTGATTTTCTTTTGTTTTGGCTTACCTTCCTGTGTCTCAGTTTCTTCTACAGTCACCTCTTCAGGCAACTCAATAACTTCTTCCGGCTTGCTTTCTTCAGGGGTAGATTCTTCTACTACAGTAACACTTGTAACAGGGGCCTCGTCGTCTTTTTGGACTGTGGTGATTTCGGTGACTTCTTCCTTAGGTCCTTTTCTCTTTTTGATTATTCGCTTAGTGGTTTTAACGGTTTGGACATCGCCGGTTTCAGTTTTGACTTGTGTAATGTGTACTTTCTCAGGGGTTTCTTCAACGACCTGAGCAGTGTCTGTAGTGATGTCTGAGAGCGGTGTAGTCGTGTCATCTATGAGTTCCTCTGTGGTTTGAATTGAAACGACTGGTTGTTTGTCATCCTCTTGCTCAGTAGTGATTTGTGTTGTTTCAACTTTAGGCCCTACCCGTTTCTTAATAATACGCTTTATGATTTTCTTTTGTTTCGGCTTACCTTCTTTCGTCTCAGTTTCCTCAACTGTTACCTCTTCAGGCAACTCAATAACTTCTTCCGGCTTGCTCTCTTCGGGGGTAGTTTCTTCTACTACAGTAACACTTGTAACAGGGGCCTCGTCGTCTTTTTGGACTGTGGTGATTTCGGTGACTTCTTCCTTAGGTCCTTTTCTCTTTTTGATTATTCGCTTAGTGGTTTTAACGGTTTGGACATCACCGGTTTCAGTTTTGACTTGTGTAATGTGTACTTTCTCAGGAGTTTCTTCAACGACCTGAGCAGTGTCTGGTGTAATATCTGAGAGTGGTGTAGTCGTGTCATCTACGAGTTCCTCTGTGGTTTGAATTGAAACGACTGGTTGTTTGTCGTCTTCTTGCTCAGTAGTAATTTGTGTAGTTTCGACTTTAGGTCCTTTCCGCTTTTTAATAATGCGCTTTGTGATTTTCTTTATTTTTGGCTTACCTTCATGTGTCTCAGTTTCCTCTACAGTCACCTCTTCAGGCAACTCAACAACTTCTTCTGGCTTGCTCTCTTCGGGGGTAGTTTCTTCTACTACAGTAACACTTGTAACAGGGGCCTCGTCGTCTTTTTGGACTGTGGTGATTTCGGTGACTTCTTTCTTAGGTCCTTTTCTCTTTTTGATTATTCGCTTAGTGGTTTTAACGGTTTGGACATCGCCGGTTTCAGTTTTGACTTGTGTAATGTGTACTTTCTCAGGGGTTTCTTCAACGACCTGAGCAGTGTCTGGAGTGATTTCTGAGAGCGGTGTAGTCGTGTCATCTATGAGTTCCTCTGTGGTTTGAATTGAAACGACTGGTTGTTTTTCGTCTTCTTGCTCAGTAGTAATTTGTGTAGTTTCGACTTTAGGTCCTTTCCGCTTTTTAATAATGCGCTTTGTGATTTTCTTTTGTTTTGGCTTACCTTCTTTCGTCTTAGTTTCCTCAACTGTTACCTCTTCAGGCAACTCAATAACTTCTTCCGGCTTGCTCTCTTCGGGGGTAGTTTCTTCTACTACAGTAACACTTGTAACAGGGGCCTCGTCGTCTTTTTGGACTGTAGTGATTTCGGTGACTTCTTCCTTAGGTCCTTTTCTCTTTTTGATTATTCGCTTAGTGGTTTTAACGGTTTGGACATCGCCGGTTTCAGTTTTGACTTGTGTAATGTGTACTTTCTCAGGGGTTTCTTCAACGACCTGAGCAGTGTCTGGAGTGATTTCTGAGAGCGGTGTAGTCGTGTCATCTATGAGTTCCTCTGTGGTTTGAATTGAAACGACTGGTTGTTTGTCGTCTTCTTGCTCAGTAGTGATTTGTGTTGTTTCAACTTTAGGCCCTACCCGTTTCTTAATAATACGCTTTATGATTTTCTTTTGTTTCGGCTTACCTTCTTTCGTCTCAGTTTC